TATCAGTAATACATAGTTTTGAATAAATGTATATATGTATATATAAAAAATAAAAACTAGGAGAACTTCTGACAGTCACTCTAATTTTTTTAATAAATTTCATTAGTTATCCATTCTTAATCACAGTGGTGTTATCAGTGTTTCAAGTATTATATTTTAGTTGTGTAATCTAAGGAAATACTGATTTTAATTATTATATTTTAATATTTATACACCTACTTTCCACTTGCATAGCTTTTTGTATCTTCACAACACCCAGGTTAGCTGACAGAATGTAGAACTGAAGGCATTTGGCTTATCTAAGGCCAGAAAGAGAGAATGGTTTCTGACTCCTTGGGCTTTCTAATTCTCAATATGTTTTGCAGACAGACCAACTATTGTGAAAATCAGTCAAGCATTCTCTGCTTGTATTGGGTTTACCTGGCAAATTTTTGGTAGCGGGGGCGAGGAGGGGAGCGGGCTGCAGGGGTGGCTTCTGTGAGAAGATGCTAGAAGCTTTCCCCAAGCCCTTCATCCTGTGTAAAACCTTCATTGAGTCATATGATATGTATTCCTCTTCGGAGCGGGCAGAATGTTAGTAAGTTTTTTCAGGAAATACATAGTACTGAACTGCATGAAATAATAAAACAAAACCTGTGGTACTGCAGTTGAGACTTAGTTTCATACTCCATGACATCCCCATTTCAGGTAATCTACAGTCTCCAGTGTTTATTTTTTAGGTTAGGATATCAAGGCAGATTTTGGCATGGAGCAACTCTTGTGTTTCTGCTATTGTCCTTTTTTCATCCAAATTAAGTTTCAAACTATCATTTAGCAAAGATTTTGCTATGCTAGGATTGGTGTATGACCTACCTTTCTCGTCTTAAATAAGACTTAAATAAGCAGCGGTGGTGCTGCTTTTTGCTGTCTTCCAACATTTTGTCATTTGTGATGCGTTTTTAAAATTTCACTAGATTAAATGAGAAAGAGGATATTTTTCCCACCCGATAGTACAGAATTGGAGAGTTAGCACAACAACTAGAAGTAGATCTGCAGAAGAATCTAGGTATATATTCTTGTCTGACAGCTGAGATGTCAGCACTTAAGAATGGAGTATATCCCTGCACTACTTAGGGAGCAGGTTAGTAGGACAAACCAGTGCAAGAGTCAATCTGTCCTATATCACATTGTTGCAAGAAAATTAAGCATGGAGACACCTTTCTCAGCTCTGAAGTCATGATCATAAGTCCTCTCCTGGAGTTGGATAAGTTGCATAAGCTGACTCCTACAGAATATAGCCAGAAGTAACAGTGCCTACATTTTGTTAAACCAAGCATTCAGGCAGAGTGCGAGAGATAAGGGTGAGAGTTCAGGTGCCTGATTAGCTTGAAGATTTTTCTTTCACTTCTGAACAACAGAATCCTGAATTTCCTGGTGTTGTACCTTATTTGTTGCATCTTGCTGCTTTGCTTCATTTAGAAATAATTAATTATTGAACCAATGTATGGGAGTGACCCTGTTGCAGAGTAATTGAAATGTTCATCTGGGAGAAGGATTTTTGCTGACTAATCCCAAAACTATTGGGTATTTAAATATTTTGTATTAAGTAGTTGACAGGGCAGAAACTGTTATAACATCTGTCCATTCTTCCTAGTGAGTGCCCTCCTAACTTTGTCATTAATTCGTGCTCATTCTTTGACTCTTTTTGGCCAGTGAGTCTTTAATTATTCTGTAAAGAAAGATCAAACCCAATCGGTGTTCCAAGTGGCTGCATTAAACAATATGCTTCTGGTGAAAAGAGTTACTGCTATGTCTCCTTGAGCCACATTTTATTTTGAGCCAGTTTGCTTAGACATTTTCTGATTCTGGATGTCGGAACTGTATGGAGTGGAGCATTCGGCGGCGGCACTGTTTTGATCTGCTGATGTGGTGAAACTTACTGACTGCTTCTAAACTGCAGGATTCAGGAGCACTTCCCTGCTCCCAGGTTTGGATGTGGGTCAACACACCACCCCTCTACTGCTCCTTGATTTCACGGGAAGAAAACACATGGATAAGAGTCATGTAGCGTAGCTGTAGCTTTTGGAACGGAAGGATCTCATGAGAATGGGAAACCATGAATTTTGGCAGACACCCTCACAATTTCTGGCTAGATAGCAAGGAAACATCATAACTTACTTCCACCTGACCAGAGCCTGGATACCGTGAAACATTCTTTTCATTATCTCTGTGTTGAACTGTAGCAATTTGCTGGCTTTTATAGAAAGATTGATACTGGTACAGCATGCTTGGTGTACCTCATTACCAAAGATGTGTTCTGCAAAGATCAGTTCTCTGTTCTTTGCAGAAGAGAGCCATTTGTTAGAAATTTTCTCATTGCCTGTAATCTCCCACTGTGCAACTATAGTCATGCCATGTTAAACAGAGTCATGTTTCACTGTCAGACGCTAGCAAAGCAAACTTTCTTTGCAGTCTGCGCTTAGAGGGAGAACTTCTTGCCAGAAACCCACTAGACTCCTCCGGAGTGTGGCAAGATTTCTACCTCAATCAACCAAGCAGTAGCATTTGCACACTGTATTCATGCTTTTCTGATTTGATGTTTGATTAAGAGGAAAGAAAAAACCATCTTGTTCTGTGCCTCTGGGTTTTCATATAGTGCTCAAATATGAAAGGGACAGCTATTTCAAATAAACTGAGAGGGACTGTGTGCATTGTTGCACATCTTAATGCAAATGTCTGAACAGTCCAGCATTAAAAGTCTAGAAATTGCATCACCATAGGCTTTAATGTGTGCTTATGAAACATATTAAAAATCTACATTAAAACATGCTAACTGACTCATCCAGGGATAAAAATTTCACAAGGTATGGAGTTACCTAATTTTTCCTGGTTGAATTTATCTCACCTAAGTCTAGACTCCATTACAGACTGCAAAGACAACTAGGACCCCTGAGGAATGAGGGATCCATCTGAAGATAAGCATCTGATATAATGGGCACAATCACCCTCTAGAGGTACCACTTTATTTCCAAGGTGTATACAAAGGAAACAGCAACGATGAGCTTAGATAAGACGTTTGAATTTGACATGGCCAAAGTTAGACCAGGTTAGCTCCCAGAATACGTTCAGAAAATAATTAAACAAAGACAACCCTTCTAATTTCAGTCAAACAGTCTGAAAGACTAATTTATTTGCTTTTTTTCTTTTTAAATTTTTTTTTTTTGGTGGGTGGGATGGGAGAATAAACTCTGAAGAAAAGTCACAAATTCCTTAAAGGAGAAAAAGGCACGTGAAAACCTGAATTTAGATTCCTAGTTGTCACTGCTTTCTCTATGCCTCTCTCAAACTTAAAACAATAGTTATTTTTGAAGGCAGGATGTAATTTTGTCTGAAATGCTGTTTTAGTGGCCATGATCTCTTCTGAGGAGATTGACTAAATCCTAGTGTTACACACAGGGAATCTATAGCACATTCAGAATTTAGTACAGAATAAAACAGATGCTGATAATCAGTAATGTCCTCTAGTCAGGAGGTGTACATGTTGATATGTTATCACTTATACTGTCTTATTGAAGCTAAACTGTGATATTCTGAGATTAGAACAAAATGAATTGTGGAAGTTAGAACTGAGTTTGATGACAAATTCAGGTTTGACAAAAAACAACGCATTAGTGGAACTTTGGGATTACATATTTAAAACAGAAGGGCTAGGTACAAGAAATAAACTTCTCATGTTAAGATAACATTCTCCATCTGCATACTGATTGGGTTTTTTTAAATATGTTATCTTTGCATCGCATTGATGTTTGTCATTGCATTTTACCATTTAAATTTTACTAAGTTTTGAAGGTTTATAAGGTTTTTATAAGTTGTAAGTATATAGGCCTGAGAGTATATAAGTTTTACACTTCAATGATATTGTCAAATACTTGCAGAATATCTTCAGAAAGTGTCAACACTGAAACTATCTTTGCTTATCCTTGTTACCTGCTGTGCTTTAAACAGTGTTTCATGCTGTCATTTAAAAATTATTCAGGATACTTGAATTTTGGCTCCTGATCATCTTTTCACAAAGTCATGAACCTAGACTGCTTGGATAATTGAATTTTCTTTGTTAGGTTTGAACAGGAGGACATAAGGTATGAATCAGTCAATATAATTTATCAGGTGTCAGTGCTACTTCTCTCTTATTTAGAGCTATTCCTTGGCTACAGGCTAGACTAGAGAATTATTACAAATACATGTGCTTTATTAAAGCCTCACTTTTAAGACTAATTAATTGAACTCAGCCAGGAATGTTGCAGTCTTCAAGAAGAATCAGGCCGATCAAAGTCTCATTACAGCCTTTTGCAAAGGAAGATTTTTTTCTCCT